AATCGTGCACGAGTACGAGCCAGGGTTGGTTTATCGGTGCAGGCGCCAAGTAGTCAGTCACTGTGACTCGCAAGATACATTCTGTTAGCCATGCCGCGGCGTTCAAGAGAGTTTATTATTACACTAACAGCGTGCCTTATACATCGCGTGCATCGAGATACACGTGTAGGTATTCGCGACGGCGGAAGATCGCCGCATAGAAGAGACCGCGGCTCTTCTTATAAGATACATCGTTTGCGGTTTCTGTACTTAACTAAAATAAACACATGCCATGACAAAATAAAAGAAGACAGTGGAGTAATTTGAAAAATGTACTTCGTACGTTGACACCGCAACGTTCCTCGTTCGAAATGTGCTGCTAAAAATAGGATATCTCGACCAGGCAATAAAACGTCGTTTCTATCTCGACAATTTCGTCGCGGTTATTTTTATTTGAGATCATTTTTAGGGTCCAAAAAGGGCGAGTTAGCCCGCGGCATATTCCGGCATCCAAAACCGGCCTGGACGCGATCACCGAAAGCAAACTTCATTGCTCCGTGCAGGCGTAGGTATGCGAGAGGCTTGATCACAGCCGCGGGGCTAAATTCCCGAATGCAACACGTAATTCACTAGGTCGAGGTCGTTACTTAATCGAAATCGATGCACCTTTCAATTCCTTATAACGCCTCTAAAATAAAGCGAGACACGATGTGAGTCGGAATGCGAATCTAGAAATAATTTATCGCTCTGATATCCCCAAAACAAATACATAATACGAAAATGTCAGTTAGCGAAATTCTTTTTTTAAAATTTAAAAAATAAACACTGCGACAAAGAATATCCGACATTAGAATACTTAAGATCATTATTAGGATAAAAATTAGAGAATTCTGTTTATATAGATACTGAAAAAAATTTCTGGTTGAAAATAAACAAACCAAAAGATTTGTAATCATATCATCAAAATTCTAGTCGAGATAGCTAAATGTACAATTGTGATAATCAAAATTTTGATTGATATGATCAGAATCTTCCAATTCATCAATTTTCAACAATTCAATTTTTAATTTTTCTCAATGTAATTTTTTAAATAAAAATATTACTTAGGGTTCCGATTAAGAAGTACATCCAGTTAAGTATTAAACTTCTCCAACTGTGTAAGAAATTATTCAAACCTACGAGAAATCTTAATATGAAACTTGACGATGTTTCGTTCACGACGAAATTAAAAGCTCCGATAAGAGTTAGTAAAGCAAGCGTTCTTTTACTATGTACAACGTATCTTCCCACCTTACCAATACATTGCGAACACGAGAATGGATACGCCTATTACTACTCGCGAGATTAGAACAATTTATAGTATCGTCTGAAAATACCGACCCACGCGACAAATACCGCACTTCCGGTCGAACATATGTCACAGCGATTTCGTTTGGTTGCTTGTCATTTCAAATTTCAAAGTAAAATAATGATAAAGAGGAAGTAGAAAAAGAAGACAATTCTTGATAGTTAATTGATACTAAATTCCTGGGAAAAAATTAAACGTTTCTATGAAAATAATGTTCTGAGAAAATGTTATCAGCGATGAACGGACGACGTTAATGAATTCACAATATTCCTGGAGCTCGTATGCATAATCCACGGATGGCTGTAGGTCTAAATACGTTTCCCGATAAATTCTCCTGCTCACCCACGCTACCGCTTAGCCAAATACATTAAACGCATTTATTCCACCGATACACGTCGCGGCCATGGCCCGCGCACCGTTTGCTTCTTTCTCTCGCCTCCTCTCTGCTCGCCATAATACTGTTTTCAGTGGCAGGCCTCAATTTGCCGTAATTATTATGTTTATCTTCCTCATTCACTTAGTCCGCACACCAACTTCGACGATCCGGTCCTTCGTGTTCGTTGTTCGGCACGGCAACACCGAAACGTCGGTGTGAACGGCAGGTATCGTCTCTTCTTTCATATGTGATTTACAACATTAGATATTGACACTTTTTTACTTATTTAATAGAATTAAAATTCTCTGCCCACCGATTATAACTGTAATCATGAGAGATTTATAGTTTCTACATAAAAAAAAAAGTGGAGAACATTGAAGACGAAGCCTACTTTTTAAAAGAATACTATATAAAATCGACAACCGAGTTGTTCGTAATTATTCGCTGCAGTAATAAGCAAGAGAATTCAAGATTCAATTAGTTTACGAGTGAAACATTCATCTATGATTCTATACACGTAATCCGCTACATTCGCGTTCGCGAGCGTGATATGCGTGGTTGGATTGCCACGCGCCAATCATTACATCCTGGAAGGGGTGGGTCTACCACCGATCTACTGTGTCAAATCCAATTTGCGTGATCCTTTCCCTCGGAAACGACACGAAATCCTCGTCACGCCCGACAATTTGTGTAGAGCTCGGCTCGGCGGCGGCGTGCCGACTGCACTTTCGACGAGCGTGAGAAGCGAGTGTCGGAATGTTGCACCTACGAAGAAAATAACACGACTTAGCGCGCTTCTCGATCACTGGCTAGACACGGCGTGTACAGAACACGCGTTAACCGTTCTATAAAATCCACCTCGAGCGTTACAACTTTATCCGATCGGTCTGAAAATATTTCTTCCCCCGGCTTGTGTGATCTCGCGATGCAACGCGATGGAGAACGATGCTCGTGCAACGTCCGGTTCCTTACGTGCGCCACGTAGCCACGCGCCGATCATTACGCTCGCGAGAAGGCGGTAACTACCACCGATCCAGTTTGTCAAACGCAATTTGCGTGATCCTTCCCCGCCGCGGAAACGACACGGAATTGACTTCGGTAACACGCCCGATAATTTACGGTTTTTGTACCAGACCTTGTGGCGCGTGCGATAATGAAAGCAGGCAATATTACGACTGACACCTTTTTCTGAAGGAGAATAGATTTTTAATGGGATTGAACGATGTAATTTGAAATAGCTTACGGACAGGAGAAATCGTCTCTCGCTATGTCATCGTTCGATACTCTTTTGTAAAGGTGGATGTTTAGATTGAATCGAATTGTATGCAGTGCCTCATACATTTCTCGAAGTAAAAAAAAAGTTAAGGACTTTTCTTGGTACGACTGGCCCTTGACTTCTCAGTACCACGTTAGTGCATTCACCACATCGGTCCGGTTGAAGTAGAGTTAGCACGAACGGATTGTTTCTGCGACCGAGCGAAGGCCTTTAGGAAAGTGTAAAGAGCGTCTAAAGCGAGAAAGAGAGAACAAGAAGGGCAAGAGGAGGAAGAGAGAAGGAGTGACAAAGTAACTCTGGCGAGCCGGATGAGAGGTAAGGAAGAGAGAAAGAACGAGGATGGAGCGAAAGATGAGTGTAGGGAGAAGAAAGGAGGAAAAGGTTAGCGAGGAGAGGAGACGGGAGATGGAAGATGGTAGAGGAGAGAAGGCGGTTCAAGGAGTTAAGAAGAAGAAGAAGAAGAAGAAGAAGTTAAGATGGTCCAGCGCAGGCAGCATCACCACCGCAGCCGGAGGTGATGACCTGCTCAAGGCCACCCGCTCCCAACCTCTCGGACCGAAGAGGGGAACCACTTTTCTTATTTTTCGTTGCTCCCTTTTCTCTCTTTCGGCTCCTTACAGCTCTCGATCTCTCGCTCTTTCTACTTCCTTTCTTCTGCCATTCTCTCTTTCTCTCTCTCTCTCTGTTTCGCTCGTTGGTTTCCGTGCATCTGCCCTTCTTGGGCTCGCTGAACTTTGTACGGTCCTTTCTCTCTTTCCTTCTGTATCTATATCTCGCCTTCCCCTTCCTATCATTCTTCCTATATTTCTGAATTTGTTTGATAACTCGGAAAATAATTGACTATTGCGAAAAATATTGTGAAACGTATAAAATAATTCAAAGATTGCACGCTCTTAACTCTTTTCAGCTTGAAATCAATTACACTTAAATGTGTATTAAATAAAAGGTCATTGTATATCACAGATTTCAGTTCACTAGTTTTCTATTTTTGAATATTCTTCATGCAAATTTTTTATTAAACGACTAGTAACTAATGGTTACACACAGTATTCTTTGAATTCATTAGGGTATCCACAAAAACAATTAGCGTAAAACTCACGATGCGTTCACGTGAACAGAAGAAAAATAAACCATAAAAAAGTCGTAAAATAACTAAAATCGTGCGACTAAATCGCTTGTCGCCGCGAGAGTGTTCACCAGCCAAGAATGCAGTACATCGTCGCATCGTCGACACAATGTAAAAAAAGTCAAGTCCTTTATTCCTTAATCGTTCAATTCGATCAGCCGCTTTTCGCGAATGCGATCATCCGAACACGAAATATGCATGCGCGAACTAAATCTTACAGAAGAAATTTTAGATAAAATAAAATTTTCTACGTTAATCATAATAAAATTTATTAATACGAAATTATTAGCTTAGAAATAAAGAATATCGTGTCAGCAAAATTTTTAATGAATGTGTTAAATAAAAAAATATTTCGGAACTTTTTTTTATAGGGACTTCGCACTTTGATGCACATGCACATATTCGGTATATCTGGTGTTTAATAAGCGCGAGTCAACTAGAGTCAACGGTGCAGCTGTGCCGACGGCAAACTATTACCTCGATTCATTTATCAGTGACCTCTTTGTATACGTCTCTTTCGTAGGACTCCTCCATGAGACCGCCGCGCCGCGTTAACTTTTCTTAATTGAAATGTCATCCATAGAGTGATTTCGCTAACCGCATAATTGCTAACGCGTATATAAAAACATATATTTTATGTAAGTATTACACGCGTGATTTAAAGATACGAGTTATTGTTCATTTCAATCTGATTCTTTTTTTTTATTTTTCGCCTTAGGGCAATTGTTACTTTCGCTATTTCGACAAAATGACAGTGATTTCTCGTACAATCGTAGTTACGGCTGGTGAACAGAGTTATACCCTTTCCCGCATAAACATGCTATGCTTAAAGGTTGATACAGTAATGGTTACACACCATGTACAATAAATAAAAGTACGTACACATTTGTTGCAGCGCGAGATGACGAAGCAGACCGCGTGAGCAAGATTGCAGAATACACGGAGGAGGAAAGCAAGAACCCGGACAAAGGTAGAGAAATAGAAATTGTTAAAGATCTACGAAATATCCATACTTCTCTTTCGTAGATCTAAATACCTCAAAACAGGCTTAAATGATAAAAGAGCTCGATTTTTTTGCACAATCGGCGAACAATGTAGAGCCGCATAAACTTCTCTGAGATCAGCATATTACTTTCCCGAACGATCTTATCGCGGAAACATTAAGGTATGACTCGACGATTTCGACAATACTATTGCGTTCGTGTGCAGTGGGCCGTAGATTGTATTCATCGTCGGATAACGATAATTCCGGGTTACAGCGTCGTGTCAAACTCCTTCGCAAAATGAAACGAAAATGTCAGGCGAACATACGACGTACGGTCAGTGTACCGGATCGGCCGGATTGGTAACAATAGTATTAATCCGCGTGAATACCTTGCAGTTTACGCCGATCTCTCGTCCTTCGGCTCAGTGAAAGTCTACAAGAATTCGCCCTCGATCGTGTTGCGAACTTCACATTGAGATCCTCCTGACATGTCACGATCTCGAAACTAATAACGCTGGGTAACAAACACCTCACGTTGTCTTGTAAAACAGCAACAAGCAGTGCCGATCGTACCATTGCTCGCCCGAATATCGAAGTCACGATTCTTAATCAAAATAGAAAGAAATTCTTAAAATCTGTAATTTACAGCCTAATCGAGTAATCAACAAAATTATCCCAAAGTTATTAAGATATTTGAATGCTAAATGCTTTCACAAGGAAGTAAAAATTAAGAGTAGTACATAACGCGCGCGTTGATGGAAGAAAGATCAAAATGCGACAGGAAATTGAGGCATCTTAATCACCTAATTTTTTTCCGACGTAAACTTAAAGCCGTTTGTTAGCATAGACTCGCTAGACTGTGGATATAATAACGAATGCCTTTCTCCTCGTCTTTTATCTTTGCACGCAGATATGTATCCTCGCAGTTTTGTCTCGCGGTAGTTTCGCGAGTATATGCAACGAACGGTCGCTATCAGTCTTTTTCCATTTTTCCGTAAAAAATTAATTGGATAGGATTCTCGCGGAGTGATTCGCTTCCTACTCGTTTTACAGCCCGCTCCCACGAAGGCACGAGCGAAGTCGGCGATGGTTAAGCGTCATCGGCCTCTCGAAGCACGTACATCGGGCCGCCGCGTTTAATGCCAATGTTTCCGCATTCTGGAATCTTATTTCTGAACGAGGAATATTCGCTGTCTAGCCGGTGCAGTGGCAAAAATGTGCTGCCGACTGCTCACGCCGTGTCAAATCCTCTCGGAAAACCACGCGCGAACATCAGCCAGACATCGCGCCGCGCCACGCCGCACCATGTCGAGATTTTATGGTCTGCATATACTCGACTGCATAGTGCATATGCTAGGACCCAAGATTTGTTCGAGAGAATTGCCGATTTTATCGTAGATATCGTAGATAGAATTAATCATTGCGTCATTGCGCGACGCGACACTTCCGCAATGTAAAATTTTATTATTTCTGCCCATGAAACGTCGGTCGAACCGATACCTAACTGTGAAAATATGACGTTGAACTTGGTTGAATCTTTTACTATTATATTAGGAATTGGAGATTTCACCTATATGGATTGTGAATAGAAAAAGGACATTCCTAAAATTCCGATCGATTTCTCGTGCTTTCGATAAGAGGTTTAAGCGCGTTGGGCAACGGCATTTGACATCCCTTCTCAATGTGGGAATTAATCCGCGGCGTGCAGGGCGTTAAATGAATTTCTCGCGATATGACACTTCTCACTTCTGCGCGAGAGTATGTCAAAAGTTAAATGTGATAAATGGACATTATGCTCATATCGGCACTATGTAACGCGAATCCGCGTCTTATTTAAGAATCTAACTATTCGCCACAGCGCACGATACCACGATGTATCATGGAAAAGGTAGAAAGGTAGAAAGGTGATGTAATAGTAAATTAGAATGTGAGATTACTGAGTAAAATATATGTTGAATTTTGCAACACCCATTTGAATCAACCATATCGGCTGTCCCTTTATTCGAGTTCATCGTTCAAACGACACGGTGGTTCGGTATGGATTTTATATTTAATATCTGCACCGTCGTTATTACGCTGAACGCTATCGAACATTTCTTCTCGTGTAACTTTGTGAACGGTTGTTGAGCACGAAGAAACGTGTGTACAAAAAATCAAATTGTAGAAATGTTACGCGGAATAGTCATGAATTGCTGAGCTGTTATTAATACTCATATAATCTTTACAAGACAACGATCAGACAAGTATTACGTGACGAAATGTAAGTAGCAAGGAATACGAAGTCGCTCCTAAATCTCTGCAACTCGAGATAAACTTTTTAACGTTCAATGTATTAAATTGCTTTACCCAGTCTAAGCCACGAAAAGAAGTTCACTTTTTCAAAAGTAACAAATTAAGTGATACATAAAATTTGGTAAAATGTACAATATTATGACACAACCCGTGATATTCATTTTTCTAACATCGCTTCTTTACTTCAAAAGTAACATAATTAAAAAGGTTAAAATTTTCAGAAAAAGGGAGAAATTAATTTTTTAACTTCACAGAAATATATTCTTATTGCCAATATTATTTTATTTTATTGATTAATAAAATAATATTGGCAAAAAGAATATATTCTTAATTCAAATGTTATTTTTTCACAATCCTTAAAAGACCATCCTTTTTGTTGTTGAGTTGTGACAATTTTGATATCCTATAAAATTATAACAAATCTAAAGTAATTGATTAAACATCGATACAACTCAAAATGTGTTACTCTTATAGAAAGTATTATTTCGTTAAAAACGAGACAAATGCTTTGGCAAACGAAAGTTAATTTTCTTTTGATGATTGATAGAGTAATCTTCATCTAATTCATTTATAGAAACTAAAAAATCGCATTTTTTTAATTGTGTCAATTTTAAAGTAAAACAACAATATATTTCTTTAGAAAAATCAACGAGCAGAATACAAAGAACATCGCATTTCACTCGGCATTTGAAAATCAATGATTTATCCGCTGTAACGCGCGGATTTATTGCTAAATACATTGCTTCACATCAGACAATATATCATTTAAGACGTTTAACGACGCGAATGTCGCACGATCATCACATCGACTGATGAAACAAAAAGAGGGAGACCATTATTAGAGGAGATAAATATAACATTTAATAATCGTGTTACAAGGTTCTACGCTTCCAGTACATTGACGCAACGCGGGCAATTCGGATCTCGGTGCCAAGGACAAGTGGCTTTTAGTGACGGCACTGATTTTGTGGTCTGCCTCCTTTCTTTTCCAAAACAGTATTCCACGAAGAAAGCCGTTTGCCGCTCATTGCGACAGACGTAATCTTCGCTTTCAGAAACTATATGCACGATGATGTAATTCACAACCGCAATTTACGTATGGTATAACCACTATTATCATACCTGTATAACATCATGCATATGGGCGTGCATAATAAGAATTATCTTAGTCACGATAAAGTAAAATTGCATCCTTAATATCGTTCGCTGATCTATTGTTTCTATATCAAGAATTGTTTCAGTTATAGTTGTTCTACAATTTGCAGAATATAAAAAATATATGTAACATCGGTGATAGATGTAATAATTTTCCAATGTGTTTGCATCGCGATCTAGATTTATAAACTTTACTGTTATGCTTATCTTATACGTCGATCTAATTTCAATCTATAAATTGATGCATTCTCCGATTTTTATTAATGAATCATTTAAGTCCATGGAATTATCAAGCGACGTAATTCAGTGGCATGACAAAATCGTCGGTTCATCTTAAAGCCGATTATATCGCATAGCGGTATACCCAGGTCAGCATAGATCGTCTGGTTTGCGTCCTACGACTTTTCTTCGGCGAGCAAACGGTTTCGTTTCGTTGACACATTCCATAAGATTAATCGATTCCCGTAGCAGTTCGGGCGACATCCGCAAACTAGTATACAAGACACAGATCTACGAATTCCAAGAGAAACTGTTATGTCTCATGCAGCTAATTTATGACGTATGTGCCTCTGTAGCTATTTCGCTATTGTCTCGATGGATTAGAAACAAATCTCGAACATCTGCGAACGTGAAATATTGTAACAAGAAATGACGCGCACTTGGATGGCATCCAACGCAGATCAAAGAAGAAATTAAAAGACAAAACGCAGACTCGGAGATCGAGAGTGAAGAACGAAGTGACACGTAAATACACGCTGATTTTTCGCATACGGTATAATGTTTGCAAAGAATGTAATTCCATGCAGCAAAATTAAAAACGTGGTGGCATACTGAAAACGCGAGACTATCCCTCCTCTCGTGCATGAAAGCGCTTGATGTCGGTGCTAACCGCGGAAGTTGGCCTCGACAGGCAATGTCGCCCAGTCTTACGACAGCCTTCTTGCCAGCACGAACGAGAAATTCTGCTGTTGTTTCTCTCTTCATCACGACGATACATCAACGTTCTTCTGAGAATCGTTTCGTGCCGACTAAACTCAGATTCGCGCAAAACGCACAATGAATTTCTTCCACGTGAAAGTTTGCCATAACCGCGAGTTGAGTTATATACTCTTCGATGATTAAAATTAATTGCCTGCCAACTTAATATTCGCAAAGTGGTTGTAAAACAAGAGTGGTCTTCGCGAATTCTGAACGTTGTACTCATCGTCTAATCAGGTATATCTTGTAACATATATTATCCGTTTCTTTATCGGTTACTTTCAACTTAATGCATTAGTGAACGCAGAGAGCACATTATTGAGCCTTTATCTTTCATATGTTTTTCTAGTTTTGTTATCTATCAGTATGTAATTTACTATGAAATAGTATTAAAAAATAATAGATAAGATCTTAATTTATATATTTGTTTAGCTGATTGGTTATAATGATGTGATAATTATAACTTCACAAACTGGTAATTAAATATTTGTCAAGACGAAAATATGATACAACGGCTGACACTTACGAATGTTTTCTATTACTTTATCGTTTTGAGACAATATAAAAAGCAATTTTTCATTTCAAAGAATTATAATTTCTTAATTTATTTAAATCTAATATTACTCTAACTTATATTTATTTATATATTTATTATCATTCATTTAAATTATTTATTGAGAATTTTTATAATTACAGTTGATTTGCCAACTAAATAAATGTTGAATTATACAAAATGAATGAAATTCACGTATACTCGAATGCATTTACGTACACAATAACACGTGCAGTGTCTCTGATACCGGTACAAATATGGTACGATCGTCTGGATGATGCATCGAAAACCATCAAGTTGCGCGAAAGTTGCATCTGTTGCACGTGCATACGATCGACGATTAGTTACGTCGTGCTGTGCACTACGCCAGGAATGTTAATCAGGAGTTAGCGCGGTGCGCTTTATTAACCGTGAATTAAAATTAGTCATAGTTTCGCGGTATACATAAGCGTTCGGCAATGCGACAATATATGCACCAATGATTTGCAATTTACGAGCAGTTGGATATTTTAAGAATCTCATTTGCACACTCATAGATAGATAAAGAAAGTTCAAAATAAAACTTTGCATTTCATTACGAGAAATTACGTTGTTAACGGTATAGTAACTTACTCGATTTAAATATTTCTGCTTAAACTAGCAGATAACGTATATGCAAAAATTTTATCAGTAAGCTTGTTTTATTTTGGAATGTGGAAATCCTTGAAACCATACAAATCTATATAAACTAAATAATCTGTGTTTTTTAATTGAACGACAAAAAATTCGGATATCTTATATTCAAAATAAAATAAAAAGTTAAAAGTAAAAAATTTAGAGTAAAATAAAATATTTGGAACAAAATTTAAAAATCGGAATAAATCTCAAAGAAAGAGAATGAGATTAATGTGAGAGACAAGTTTTTTTCCTTAAAACTCGGATTTTACGAATAAAAAACAAATTTTTAAAATTCGATAGAGATTGAATTCTCTTTAGAATATATTGAACTCTGACAAATGTGAAAGATCGTAAAATGGCACGTATGCGATTCGTCAGACGAAAAGCATGAAAAATCGAAGAGATGATGTCATTTTTTAAACGATAATACGTTCACTGCGATGTATGATGTGTTGATATATGCGCGATGAATCATTCAAGTGGTTTGCTGGTTCGCTATTTAATGGTACAAATATTTTTACGGATGCATTTCCTTTCCGAAAGAATTCTTAAAGCATAACATAATAGTACATATTATATTAAAGCAGAAGAACATTGAAATGAGATTTACAAAATGTACAAAAGAATTCTCAATTAGTTGACTTTTTGTCATAAATATATAATAGCAAAAAGCCCGTTCAGAGAATAAAACATTTTCGAATATTTTACGAGAATCTACGTTACTTATGATATTTGATTAAGCAAAACGAAGATGGTACCATTCAAATTCCATTAACGCGAATTCTGTTTCACCTTGAATTTGTTAGCTTATCAGAAAATGAAACAGACATTCCATACAAACGATAGCTTGTTAAAACGTAATGGAAAACAGCAATCACATACATTATATTATCTTTCATTCCATCACATTTAGCAAGAAATTACACAACAAAATCGTATTATATTTATATTGTACTTTACAAACTTTTTTCATACAAATTTTATATTCACAAATTCTGTATAGCTTATTAATAAACATAAAAATATTTTAGTTACTATATTATAGTTGAAAAACTTAAACTTTCACATCAATATCAAGAATGTATTCGGAAATATTGTTGCAGACACGGTAAATGGTAAGATGGAGAACTGTGGAGGCGGTCAACGCCTGCCCCCGGACGGGCACGAATTTCCAGCAGCGTACCAAGAATTTAACAACAGTAGCAACCAGCCACCGTACAGATATATCGCTATAACAAGGACAGCGACGATAACTACGAATGATGTAGGATTGTGTAATGAAAACGAGTCGTTCCGTACTAGCGAGACTCTTAAAATGCTCGCGAACGACAGCAACGTTGTCAGTTCGAGAAGCATTATTCTATCGGATAGTAAAATGACGTTCACAGGCACTGAAAACGTGAGGCAGGATATAAACAAAGTCGCTTTGGCAAATATGGAGAGCGTCCGGTCTGAGGTAGGCAAGGCTACGACGGCCAATGTGGATAATATATGTCAAGATGTGAAGTCCACGGAGATTACTAATGAAGAGAAAAAATCATCTTATCACACTTCGGAAGATATCGCGAAGAAAAACGCTTCCATCGTTGCGGGAAGTTCTCTTTATTCTTGTCAAACGACCAACAGCAATTTAATAATGAGTGAGAAGAAGATGGAGATCGCTGGATATTACCACAAGGCCGTGACGACGCTCGAAGAAGTGCCAAGCCACGTGGAAAAGGACGCACCTGTTGATACCCCACCGCCTCTTCCATTGACAGGTACTCATTACTTATCTAACTTCGAATGAAATCTCTCCTCGTATTTTTTTTCTCCGAGAAGCAACATATCAAAAATATATTATTAAATTATCAAATTCAATATTTTCGAAAAGATTGATTCCTCCTCCCTTTGAAATTATTTCAAACGCATCGCATTTTTATATATATTACCTCCTTTTTTTATACTTTTTGCAAAAGTACGTTATATTATTCATAGGTCCGCCAAAAATAGAGCAACAAGTGTTGCATACGAGAATTACTCCTACGATAGAATCTCCGCAGAGAAAGTTTTCTTTGAACGGTGATCTCTGGAGACAAGACGACAAGTCCGAGCGATCTGTTCGAGACAAAATCGCAATGTTTTCATCGCAAAGCAATCTTGATGCGCCTCTATTTCCCAATGCCATAACAGCGGCAGCAGCCACGAACAACAGCAAACGCCTCTCCAAGTACAAGTCCTCCGAAGACGTTTGCTGCGATGACAAGAGCAACGGACAGAAAGATCAGTCGTCTTTCTTCGCCGACAGGACGCAGAGTTCTTTCGATCTCACCGATTCAGCCAAGACTATGACTGGGCATGACTCCGCGAAGAAATATAATCAGAGAACGCTTAGTTTGCCTCAGACTGTTCAACCTCTATTGAGTCCAACTACGCAAACTACGCGGACTCCAAAGACGCTACCAATTATTCCGCCGAAATCATTATCTAGCCCACTGTCAACTTTGTACGACAAGCAAAATTTCTTAAATACGACGGCAAAAAATTATTGTGCAAATACCGCAGAAAGCAGTAATTTGCAGAATACCGTGTATTCGAACATCGGTAAAACTGTAAATTCTTGTAACAATTCTAGCAACTTAATTAAGCCAACGAACACACCTTCATTAACGCGAGCTACCAGTTTTTCGGGCCCGACACCCTTTGTGCAAGATCGAGATTCCTTGACAACCGATTCCATCAGTAACTCACAAATTTCAAGAACGAATTCCTTAGCGTCCACGTTTAGACGACCCGGCGAAGATGTAAGAAGAAACAGCTTGAATCAGCTGATCGAGCAGAGACGAAGATCAATATCGAAATTACGTGGTCTGGTTATACCGGAAAAAGACACTGTATCAATCGATCAACCTATCGTCGATTTACCGGAAATTAAATCACGAGATTCAATATTATTGTATCAGGTAAGATTTGAAACATATATAATGCAATTCAACTTGGGATTTTTAATTCGAATCTTATACAAAATATTAATTTTTATATTTTATAATACAATATTTTGTAATATTTCGTAATATTTCAAAAAATTTATCAGCTATTGCTTCGAAAAATTAATTTTTATGAATAATATTGAATTTCTCCATTCTGTGGTTTCTCCATTCTGTGCAAAAATATTCAAAATAATACATTGTTCACACACATGTACGTTTTTTCAGATACCAAAGGCAAATATTCAAGACAAGTGGGGGTCTCAAAGTTCCTTAGCCAGCAACGCCAGCACAGCGAGCCAACCATTGAAAGCGACAACGTCCTTCAAGATGCCGGCGCCTCAGATATACTCCAAGTACTCCCCGGCTTTCAAAAGAAAGTCTCTCACGGTTTATGGTACTTCAGTGACGACAAACTCCACGATAAATGGCAGCAGCCCGATCAAAAGTTCTCAATCAACAGCAATGTCCACATTTTCGGAGCCACCGAAAAGCCTGGAGAGTATTTGCAGCCCGACAAGAAGCGATTACAGCTTCGAGTTTGCCTCGACGACGAGCTCACCGGATGGCTCGCGTACTAGGCCGAGGACAATGCAGAGAAAAGCTCGCTTAGATTACGATGATTCTGACAATGATTCGGCCGTAAGCAGCTCTCAGAGCAGCATATCTCGCGGCTTCAGTCCGCCAATGTCTCCGGTACCGTCGGAAAGATCTACCATCTCATCAGAGAGATCTTATGTCTCCGCGGAATTAAATTGCCAACGTCGACCTTTGATCGCAGATAATTTGAGCAGAATTTCAGTCGCACGAGATATCAGAGATCAAATTGCTGCATCCGATAAAGATCAATTTACCTCCAGGATAGGCATTCTTGGTGAACGAACATATCTAGCCGAAAGATCATCTTCCAGCAGCAGCGGGTCAAATCCGCGCTCACCGCAACCGAACGAATTTGTTTCGAGAAGTTCGCAAATCCCCCAGAGACAATTGAGGCGGTCGAACAGCACCGATACAAATTGCAGCACGTCCTCGACGCTCACATCCGGGTCTCAAGCCAGTGCCGAGTCTTTATCCCGAAGAGTATTGAAGCCGCAAAGCGTGGAGGCGATAAATCGAAAGAATATCCTGGCGAGCGCCAGATGCCGAAGCGGGAGGGATTTGAATGGATCGCCGCTAATCCAGCGAAAGTTCTCAGACGACGAAGATGCTGTAAAAGAAACCATCCAGAACGGTGGTGCTATTCATCAGATAAGCAATAACTCGGGGAGTGATCCCGCGAGCAAACAAGAAATCAAGATTGCGTATATAGAAGTCGCGGATCCCTTCGCGGAGGACGAAGAATCGTTACAGAAGAAGGAGGAGAAACCTAAATTGCCACCTAAAATGAGTTTCCCGCCGCCAGCTGTTAGACCGCCCAAATCTGAAATGTTGGAGCCATCAAACGATCTTAAAATGTGGGTTCGAGCGGAAGTGAAGACTTTGGCGCGATCAATGGAAGAAAAATCGAAATATGACAAAAGTTCAACCCTTGCAGCTCAAAATTTCGAAACAAGAAATAGTCGTGGTTCCATATTTAACCAACCTGCTATTACGTCCAATGACGATTTGTCTTCAAAGACTAGAACTACGATAAACGATACGAAGGTCACCACGATGGAAATATCGAAACCACAAAGTAAAGCGAATTCAACTCCTAGAAAAAATATGGAAGACCAAAATGATCTTTTGACGATCTTAACGACAAAAAGCCGCTCCAGATCAGCTATACACGTCGACGAAGGGACGTTTGGTAGATCGAAGAGTCAGATGAGCCTAGAAGATATACTTGGCGCTAAGCCAGATTTGAAATTATCCCGTGCGCAAAATACGGAACCAAAAATTGAAAAGAATGGTATAATACCAAGCTCGCCGGTAAAATCTGCTTGGGAAATTTCGAAGGAAAATCGATACGGGAGAAGAGGTTCTATTACTTCGAACGAGTCCTTGTCGGAGGACAGACCTTTTGTCTCGAAAATACCCACCTTAGGGAGAACCAAAACTGTCGATAGCGGCGACGAAATGACAGAAAATGTCGAAAGAATAAAAAGTATGACGGCGTCGAAGATTCCGACATCTCGTGGCTTAAATCGACGCAGCGCCAGTGTCACGGATATGAAGAAAGCTTTGGAGAAGGTTGATACCAGTCCTGTGCATAGTCAATCACAACAGAACGCCAGCAACACTCATAATCGATTTCCAAGTCTAGACAGCAGCATAGACGAGAATATCGGGACGGAAATAGACACCGATAGATGCTACGGCGAGCAATTTGGCAGTATCAGTTCACTCGCCAGCAGTACCAGTTTAATCTCGCAACAAGAACTGGCGCAGCTCGTCGAGGAGGCGAGTTTGGAAGAGGCACGTGGAGCGCACGATGTTATAGTCGTTTTGCTTCACAAGGAGAACCCGACCGGCAGCGTTGGCATTACTTTAGCTGGTGGCGCGGATTGCGAAGTGAAGGAGATCACGGTTCATAGAGTACTAACGCACTCTATCGCGGACAAAGACGGCCGGGTGCAGAGGGGTGATAGAATCCTCAGCATAAACGGTCGGAGCACGCGAGGTCTCACACACAGGGAGAGCATGGCGGTACTGAAGCAGCCGAGATCGGAGGTCGTGTTGGTCGTGTCGAGGGTCAGGATGGAGGAAGGCTTTAAGCTGAGGTCGCGAACTGCGAGTGTCGAAACCATCGTCGAAGGTAAAAAATATATGCGTTTCTCACGTGAGAACTCTCACGATCTATTTTAATAACGGAATCGATGTAAATAAAAGAACTCGGATCACACAGGGTTAGAGACGAATGGAAACGTGGAGGACACAGCGTGGGGACCACCATCGACCGTGGCGGTTTACAAGGATGGAGCTGGTCTCGGATTTAGCCTGGAAGGCGGCAGAGATAGTCCCCTCGGAGATAGACCTTTAATTATCAAGAAGATATTCACCGGTAAATATTCGTATATAGTATATTTGCGATTGAATATCATGTTAAAGGATAATGCTAATTATAACGATAACGATCATTATATTGAAATCATGAGATAGTAGAAATTATATTATATGTTATCTGAACTTTATCTTTTACGACAGGAGGTGCTGCCGAGAAAACGGGTGCCTTAAAAGCCGGGGATCAACTGCTTGAAGTAAACGGTAACGATGTAACGCGAATGTCGAGGATAGAAGCGTGGTCTTTGATGAAGAAGCTACACGATGGTGAAGTGAATCTCCTAGTCAGGCATCCTGCCACTAAATCCTCGTGAGAAATACGAAGTCCCCATTGTATGATGCAAATGAAACGTAGTAATGTGCCAAGCAAGCGTCTGGATTATTTTTCGATCGATATTTGTTACGTAGGTATAGTGGTTAATAAGGTATGTTATTAATTTGTTTTGTTCAAGAGATTTTAGATACGAACCGATGTTATATGCGAGAGGCTTTTTCTATTGTGCTGATAAATTTAAATAATGTCGCTGTTTAGTCAGAATCAAAAATCTAAATTCATCGATTTATAAAAAGAGATAATCTATTGATACTATTTTTAAGAGCGTCTAAATTAATCGATAACTACCATATACATTCACTGCTCTAATTGCATTGTCATTAATTATAAATTCAATAGCTAACACGTTAACAAAAAATTAAGAGAAAATGGCAAATCTGTGTGGTTTGCTAATTTATTTTCCGATTAAACGCCTCGTAAATGAAACGTGCATTTTATGCGTAAAATTCGTTCTAAAATAGTGTTTTCTGCAGAATATATGCAAATTACAATATAATGATCTTGATAGTTTCATCGCAATAAAATTAGTACACAAAAAGCGACCTAAAATTGCAAGTTTCCAATCTGAATCGACAATGCAAAATGCAATATCATATCCGATGTGCAATGATTAGACGTGAAATAATATTTTTATTTCGTAAATTTCGTCAAAAAGCAGCGATATAGCATCTTAATATAGTATATGTTTTGACAACGAAATATATGGAAATTTCAATATATGCCATACGCAAGCGAACCGTAATGTTACTGAAATGAAGTAGGTAGGCATGTCAATTAATCATTTAATTAAGCGATACGTTGTTAACACGAATCGCTCGTACATAATAATTCCATAGTGCCGGCCGTGCAGTAATAGTTCGAATTAAGAATTTGCAACAAGCAAAATAGCTGAGTAGATAGTTATAATATGAGCCTGATTGTAGATCGCCTATTTCTAATCGATTTTAGCCACCCCGTCGCCTTATTATAGTGGTTCCTGTTACATTAGGATACGAATGATAGAATATTTTCATACGATGCGGTGATCAAAATGATGCGCCGTTATAGCAATAAGAGAGAAAATGACGCGAGAGATCAGTTTTCTATGGGTGACTCCGATTAAATGTTAATTAACTTAATTGGCGATTAACTCAACTGACGGAATTGCTTGCGGCAACGTTTCTAACAATATATATAAATCGTTATTCCTAATCGAATTTTTCTTTTCATGTATTAAATAACAAAAAAATCAACTATCTTATTATACATGTTATTAACAAGATAGTACAGTTATTGCTTGATAAGTTAATCGCTGATTATATCAATCAATTAAAAGTCGAAGTCGTTCATAATAATACGATAAAACCACAGAACAGGTTTATGTTAAAGTAATCCTCAAATAAGAGTTTAGACGTCATCTGCTATCTATGGTTCACTCTTTACAACAAAAATGATAGAATCAATTTAGTACTTATGGAATGTATTTAAATTCATTTAAACAAATGATTTTAATTCAATAATCTATATATATTATCATTATGATAAGTAAATTTGTAAAATAATAATAACATATAAATTCCCTTGTAATTAAACATATGATAGATCAATCGTTTAAACAGTCATATATTGTTTAAGCTCTTATTTGAGAATTTTTTTTTATTAAATTAGAAAACTCTTTAAAAAAAGGCCATCTTGACGCCATCTCGTGGCTATCCATAAAAAGTAATAAACTTTAAATTTGCTCGCAGCGTGAACGAAAGCGCCAATCGCTACTGAAATCTACAATCGCGCCAATTGAATCTTGAACAATTTTTCAGTAGCTTCCGTTGCAAAAGCATTCACACCGGTTATGATTATCTCGATGAAGCTAATGCGCCAACAGCGGTATATAATGTGCTTAATCACGCGAAGATACCGCATTGCCGCGCGCGTATATACATGAATAGAATGCCGTTCCGTTCACGACGCGCGTATGTCGAGATATTATCAGCGAAAAATTATCTCTGGCACGAGGCGCGACGTTTTGCGCGATTAGTCGTTTCGCAGGCAGTAAGGATATAACGGGACGAAATGTAATTATTTCAGACACGAGATCTTAAGATCTGAGACGAGGGAAAGGAAGATGGCGGACGGTCGCACTAAAGACGCGCTCCCCCTTGCTTCGCACTTCATTTCCTGATCATCATTCTCCCCACACCTGTTATATCTTTATTAAAAATGTAGCGGGAGATAAAGTACGACTCACCGATCTCGGTATAGAACACCCGGAAGTCGAAGAGAACCTGCGGGAGAATCGACAATGGAAAAACGGCTCTTCTCGTAAACGCGCGTTTATCCGTGGTGGTAACTTTTTTCGAACTGAATACCGCAGCGATCGACGCGCAATCGCGACATCGCGTCTGACGTGAAGTGTGCCGCGAAGACGGATTCTTCGATTAATTTAAATTTATTTTCGCAAATCCATTCTCCAAACAGCACTATGTCCAAAATTGGAATGTAAGACGTCTTCAAGATGTCATTAAAATGTTTTTTTAAACATCATACCTTATCGCAATCATTATAAAAACATCTTTAAGATATCATAAGACGTCTTAAAAAGTCTGTCTTTATAATGGCTGCGTTCAGCAAAAAAATAGCTTTGCAATTGTTTTAAAATTCTGTAATGCGATTGATTTATACATTTAGATCCAGTGATTAAGCTTTTAATCTCATTGTAGACGCCGCTCAAGACAATCTTACGACCCATTTTGGACATGTTTTGCTATGTGGGCTATTTGACTTGAATTTTGAATTGAATGTTCGAGATTTCATTGCTTCTCTCACACATTTCAATTTTCGAAAAATAGAATCCTTTTGAAAAAAAATCTCCCCGCTTTCTCGCGTACATATGGCCATAAATTTTCAACGTCATGAAACGTGGACTGATCGATCGTTAGTTCAATTTCTATTGCAATCGGAATTATAAATGCGCCGAGTTAAGGGAAGTGTCATACATAACAGAATATTAATATAAAAGAATATATCGGAATATATATTTAAATATAATACGGAAGCATTTCGGGATATGCATTTATTAAAATTTTGTGCTGTGATATGTGTGAATGACACGATTTAGCATAAAACAAGCAACTATTGATTGAAATACTAATCAATATTATTACGTATTTTAATCCAATGTAAATTCGTTATATATATAAAGCACTGAATTGTTCGTTTTTTATTATTTAATGTTATAAATGCTCTTTTTATTGCGTATTTCCTATGCAAAACATTGCAAACAGGGACTCCTTATAATATCTTTTGTCAAAGATATAGAATTTCTCAATATATATATACCAAGAAAAAAAGAAAATTAAAATTATTAAATTATTAAATAGATAAATTGGAAAATACAATATTGGAAAATGCAATTTTCGCACATTTTTTCATTTAAAAAGATTGTGAGGTTTCTTGAGTTGTATTAGAAAACTATGTTCCCTTTTGTCCGTTTAATATATTTATTAAATATTATAGCTGTACATTGAAAATAACAGCGAATTGTATATAAGAATGATTAATACCAATAAAATTTCTTTGGAACACGATCTTCTTTAATATCCATCTTTTCCATGATATCCATCTCGAAAGTCTTTAATGCTGGCTGTAAATAGAAAACATGCATTTAATTTTTTGTTTCTACGTAAAATTTGTCTGTTACTTAATATTGTTATAAAATCTTCATTCATTTTATGTATATATGTATAACTAATTAATGTAATAAGATCTATAAATAAAAATAAACAAATTCGAGGTATTTTACACACATACTTCGAAAGTTATTTTTTCCATATCAGCTTTAGTTGTATCTTTTGCTTGCTCTAGATAAAGCTGAGGTAATTTGTAATCTATTGTTTCTTGACTAGAAACAGGAATAGGAATTATTCTACCAGATCTCACGGATACGCGTACACGGTGACCATCCTCTGTGAATCGCCATTCTACTGGAGTTGCTTGCCTACAACGATTTAATTTGTAAATTAGTAGTATATAAACATTGACACTATACATTTATCTTCATAAAATAATTTTTTTATAATATAAGACATTTCAGATACTTACATATCTGAAGGATCAACCAATTGTACTTGTGAGGTTACCAATAATGGTTGTTCTTGCTGCATATATATACTAGGATATTTTTTACCTATCTTTTGACATTCCAACTTCGTATTAAGTCCTTCGACAATTATCCAATTTCTTTCTTGATAAATATCTTTTACAATCCCTTGCTTTCCTTTATCTTTTCCTACTAAAACCTCTACCTAGGAAAATATAAATTTATACAAATGTTATAATATTTATATATCAAAATAATATTACTAATGTCATCTCTTATCTTTTCACTTTTTATGAGAAATCTACCAATAAAATAACGTACCCTATCACCTCGAAAGAAATTCCAATCCTTAATAGGCTCCACGTGAACGAATTTATGAGATTTACCAGGTGCATTATCACGATGAAATTGAGAAGTCCATGGACGATGTATTGAGAAACGAAATCGCTTTCTTTCAATTGTACGTGGCAAATAATTTGGCTTTTTGGGTGTCTTCCAATAAACCTTAATACATTAACAAACAAAAATGTAAAAATTAATAATTAACTAATTGGTCAATGGAGTAGAATAACTTTGATCAAATTTTAATTAACTTGAATAACAATTAATTCTAATAGGCACAACTTGCAAAAATAAACAACTTTTAAGTTCAGCCATTTAAAGTCCGAAAATCAGAACTCAACATCTTAATATTGTTCTCATAAAAAATATGTAATATATTATAAAAATAATATTAATATATATTTTTTCTTCGTGTTATATTTGTTATAAATGAATTTTCATACTACCTATATAAGACTTCACTAATGGCTCACTTTCTGAGCAAAATGGATTACTTTTAATACCTTTTAATACTATTTCTACTAATGTAGTTTAATTTACATTTAAGAATTAAAAAAAGATGAAGAGTAAGTTGAACCGAGATTAATCTGCATTGGTAGAAATGAACATAAGTAAACTATTGATACTTTCGATCAGCATGAAAAAAATTAAAATATATTAAAAATTGATCATATTTAACCGAAATATAATTTTCATAAGGTTATATAATTTACGTTCTTTAACAAGAAACAGACTAAAACAATTTGACAATTGTGCGGACCTGTGCCATAGCTCGTTCTATGTAACTATCAGGTAAATTTGCATATTTCTTTGACCACTCTCCTACGCGTCTTAACAAACTGGATGTCAATCTCATGTCTACTCCTCAAATTGTAGCAAAATTATTTTTACACTTAAACGCAAATATAGTTTTCTAGAGTTATTTTTTAAATATCGTCCAAAATGTGGAATCTTGTATTTGGTTATGTATGTATGTGTATTTGGTTATGTCTTCTTGATAAAATAGCCCCCCCTCCTCGCCCTATCACATAACATGATGTAAAGGTGCCTTTACATGGCAGCGTCAAGCGTTGAGCGTCAGAGCATGCGCAGTGATATGTTTAATAATTTTACTGAAATTGAATTTAATGTATGAGATACACTAATAGTGGAATCTTGTAGCTTACACTATATAATGTAAATAAATATAAATTTTCAGCATTATATGTTAGGATAGTAGCCTTTTTAGGCTGCGGTCCACTTGACGCTACAAACGCTTTGAAACGTTTGAGCGACCAATCAGAACAAAGAATTTTACGAATTGACTAATGGCTGCGTTCAGCAGACTCAACAGTTTTGCAACCGTTTTATGATTGTCTGTTGAGATAGGACCATTCTTCTAGATCTAAAAGTATGATCCAATCAGCGCGAAGGAAACTTCCAACGGTTGCAAAACAAACGTTCTGCTGAACGCAGCCAATGAATTTGGTCACTTTCGTAATTTTAGGTTCGCTCTTTTTAGCTAAAATTCTTGCACTAAAGCTCTAGCTATACAAAAGTAGCACAATCCTTTTATTTGGGAGTCGATTGTGTATTTTGAAATGAGGTGAAAATTACAAAAGTGAGCAAATTTACTAGAATATTCGTAATTTAATTGGTCAATATGTGCAGTGAATTTAATTGATTGGAGCGCCGTCACATGCGGCGTATCCTGCGTAAAGCCCAAGACACAGTACGAGGGAATAGCGATAGCGATAGGAATAACATGATTTCAACCTATCAGAAATCGGATATATCGGAATACGCAGTTTCTGATAGGTTGAAATCGTGTTATTCCTATCGCTATCGCTATTCCCTCGCATTGTGTCTCGGGCTTAAGCGTAACCTGCGTAATAAAAAATAAAGTATTCTAGTAATTTATTAGAATACTTTATTTTTTTATTTACTAGAAATACGCCATTCTGAAAGTCGACATTCACATTGGGCGTATTTCGCGGAAGATTAGAGAAATGCGGAACTAATGCAACCAATTGCTGATTAGAATTTCTGTTGTACACTCTAACAGAAATGCTAAACGAATTTACAATTGGTTTTCGTAACCTACGCAACTCGAAAAGTACGCCTCATGGGGAACCGGTACTTTCTATCGCGTACATACAATACGCGTTTGTACAAATTTAAAAGAAGAAAGTCTGATTTATAATGGATTTATAATAGAATTTTGTGCCCACTGTTATAGCCGATATACACCACCTGCATCAACTGCTATTACCATTGCGCATGCGCCAAAAAAGCGACACATCTAGCAACAATAATAGAACTTCTACTGTAGAAGTAGAATACCTAAATCGGAATGAAGGGAATGTTTAGGAGTTTAGAACTTTGAACAACTTGAATACGCAATACGCAATCTAATGTTTTTTAGAGTTTCACGCATGATCACGCATCACGCATGAGTTCGTCTCGTACTCCACCACCACGATAAACGTACCGAAAAATGGAAACTGACAGAAATTGGCCTAGCCGCAAATTGAAATGTGCGTCTCGGGCGGAAATATTACGATCACATCAACGGGACGATGATTTTATTAAATTCTTGCGGGAGAAGCTGTCAGATACATCACAGAATTTCGGAGTGTACAGGAAATTGCTTCAATACATTCGGTCTGACATCCCATTCAAGTTATTATACTTTATTTTCACATCGGGTATGGGCAATCAAACATTGGGCGAGGAATATACCGGCATAGTACAGGCTAATTTAGAACAACGCCGAGTTCCAACGTTAACTGTACGTTCAGTTTGAGGGATTCATTTAAAGGCAAATCCTTCTGATAACTTAATTAAATTCTATTTTTCCTTAGGTGAGAATATTAGCTGCGATTTTAGAATGTTTCGGTGAAAGAACATTGCTCAAATTGCTGCAACAGTTGCAATCATATGTAAATCATCCACGTAGCGAGTTGACTCCAGCAGCAATAACATTTTTAAACACTTTACTATCCAAGTTACGCACATTGATACCTATAATTATATTATTCCACAAAGGGATATTTTACATTCATGGTAGATACTATAGCCTGGGCAGGAGAATTGCTGGATTAGATTATACAAAGGTAAATTTTAAGTTGTGTAACATTCACAATATTGTATTTAATTTTGTCATACTTTAATAATTTGAAGGTATATGGACCTCGACCGAAGGATACTGTCAGCTGGGGATTAAGATTATTAGGAGTTGCTACTATAATTCAATGTCTATTGAGAATTTGGCAGAGTGGCACAGCACAAGATACTACTGTTGTAAATATATCTAATGCTAAGAGCATTAGTCACAATTGTCAATTGTGTCTAGAAGCAACAGCAACAACTGCGACGCTATGTGGTCATCTATTCTGCTGGAGCTGTCTTAGCGAATGGTTACGTGTGAAACCACAATGTCCATACTGTAGAGAATACGTACCACCGTCGAGAATTGTCCACCTGATGAATCTGTAAATTTTCTGTGATAATAGATTACATATTCTTTAAATACATATACATAATATAAAGATCTTGTATATATTTATGTTATACATTTACAAAAAATTAATATACTTTTAAAACAAATATATCATCTTTAAAATAAAAGAATTTAAGTTTATCCATTGTTCTTTTTGAAAAATTATATTTCAAAGTGTGTGGGATTCCTAAAAATTTTTATCATAAGATTTAAGTCATTTTTATCTGTAAGTTTATAAGATATTAACGATTAGTAAGAATTAGTACTTATAGATAGGAATTACATATGGAAAGATGAAAGTGATAAAATAACATATCTACTTTTATAGATATATACAAAAATATCAAGTTTTATTCAATTATTTATGATTATCATATTCAATCATACTACATCTTGTATAACAGTCCAATTTTGAGAAAAACAGTTATGTACAATCTCTCCTCATTTTCATTTATAAACTCATTTTATAAAATTGTTAATTGGACAAAAAGTATTATTGGCTGCGATCAGAGTCTCACTACAAATGCTTTGAAGCGTTTGATTGACCAATTAGAAGAAAAAATTTTTCAACAAATTCACAAAAAAAAACGTTTTAAAGCATTTGTAGCATCGTGTTGATCATACCCATTAACAATATAATCGATTTTTACTATTCTAAGAGTCTTTGTTTTGTTTTCTATTATGTGCCAAATTTTTTTTAAGTTATGATTTTCTAGCTCTCCTGTTACTCACATTTAATGTTTCATCATATTAGAATGAAAAGATAAGTTAAAGAAACAAGATATATTTTTCTTATATATGCGATTAAAAAAAATGAGGATTAACTAATAATAAACAAGGACTAAAAGACAATATAAGAAATTAAAGAAGTTAAAGAAGTTAAAGAAATTAAAGAATATAAGAAATAAAGAAAATAAAAAAAAGGATTAAAACGAATAATAAACGAGGACTAAGGAATGGAAGAAATGTGTTTAAAGAAAATGAGAACTAATGAATAATAAATCAGGATCATGATCAGGTGATCTTAGAATAGGAAAAATCGACCGTAAATTCATGCTCTTGAAAAGTCACACAATAACATTTGCCACTAGGATGTGCGCTGAATGGAAGTCATCCCAACAATGTTTCCTATATATTGGCTGATACCACCTGATTCGTCCTTCAATCGAAATCCATGAGGTCCATAAGCCTTATAAAATATATTTCGAAGACAATGTAATCGTTCTCTACGTCTGGAATTAAAACTTTAATGTATATAGATTTTATAAGGAATAAAATATATACCATTGAACCGAGAAATTAATACTAAAAACTCACTGTGTATGCGTTACACAATTTTCATCATCATTTACGTTGCGTTCTTGCGATGTACGTCGAGTTCTGCGGCAAGTAGTACATGATGGCTTGCAATCTGAATCAGGTGCTAATACGTTGTCTAGGTGCGGAGCATTAGCAGTCGTGGAACCACATAGGCTACCAGTCCCCGTTACCAATTGCCACGAATCGCCTGAAGATGTTGAATCGTTTCGTTGTCGAACATGGGGATTGCGCGGTATTGGAACACCAATCGGAGATGTACGATTTGCAGACAATGATGAGCGCGATTCTTGTACGGCACCACTATCTTTATTTGGAGATGTAGTAAATGTCCCGTGAGCAACATTTCTATGATACATACAAAAATATGTTAAAACTCTGATCGAAATATATAACAGATAATGTTAATACGAAATTGCTATAATACTTAAAAATAAATAATTAAAATAATCATACATATTGTTGCGTGAATCATCTTGATTATCAGTGGAATCAGTAAAGAACACAGCTGCCGATGAATCACCATCTACGCTATTTTGTTCAATAGAACTAGATGAACTGTTTTTTGGACTAAAACTTGAGTTTGTAATGATTTCGAAAGACTCGCTATCAATCACAAAAGTTTCTGATTCGCTATATTTTGACGTTCTGTCATAATGTTTGTGTATGCTAAATTGTTCGTTTTCGATATATTTTAAGAAATCAAAACAGAAGAAAAGTATTTCTTCTCCTTTATTGAGTCTGTCTGCTAAATCATGTCCAAAGAGCATCCAATCATAAGCGATGGTATAATACAGTAGTTGATACGAATCCAATGTTGTATGAATGACACCATCGGCCCAGAGACTAATTCTCAGTAATGAAATAAATAGCGGTGTACGGTCCCAACCTACGAATAACATTAATCTCTTAAATAGTTATTTAGAAAATAGTTATTTTTTGGAAATTTTTATACAGCAATATGTCCATACCTGAGATACAGTGAATCAATAATCCGTTATTACTATCATTCAGATATCTCAGTATCAATTTTAAATAGTTCTGCGTTAATTTGACTAGATTCCATTCTGTATACTGATTCCAGCTGACTCGTAATTGACTGGAGATTGGGTCTTCAGGTACACATATTGGCGCATCAATGTAATTCTGGCACCAGTTAAACACTAGATCCTTCGATCGATAATCTTGGTCTCTAAATTCCTTGAAGAATTCACATCCAGGATATGGCAGTGAAATGAGGTTAAAGTCGCTGTACCTCCTTCCTTGGTCTACCTTCTCCGACGAAGTTACGCTGAGTATCGAACAAAAGAGCTCTGTTTAAGGGCCTCTAAAAGTGGATTCATAGAATAAAACAAACTACTCATACTAAGAACTATTATTATGGAACTTTACTCTTTGTTTGTGAAGATGAACATCTCATTGGAATAGCTAATGGGTGCATTCAGTACTACAACCGCTCAATGAGCGCTCAGTGAGCGCTTGCATCTTATTGGCATATTCCGTTAGAACTAAAAATATAGACCAAATAGATACAAGAGCTCACTGAGTCCTCAGTGAGTGGTCGTGGTACTGAATGCACTCATTGTTTATATATGCAATTTTCTTCTGAAAAAACTATACATGCTTCGTCCTAAACATTATTGTTACAAACTGTAATCTTTATTCATTGTTTAATTATGTAATAAAATAGTTTTACTATGGAGCCATCTTGTTTTTCTTCTATTTGTGTCATACAAAAGCAACTTTTTATATTTCTTTTAACAATTACACTACTAAGTTCTTGCAATCACTAAACAAAGTTTAACAATTAGATAATGTCTAGCCCTCTCCAAATATTTACTTCATGATATGTACAAATACAAGAGAGAGATTTTATATCATCCTTACGTCATCCCATATTTAACTTTCTTCTTCTCCACCATGAAGTCTACGATGGTTCCTACATTAAGAGTTTTCAGAAGTTCAATATCGTAATATCTAACTTTATCTTTCAAGTCAGTCAGCTTGGATTCCTCCTTGGGTAAATTTTCTTCTACCTGTGTAACTGGCTGCACTGAACTTGTGCTGCCTACACTAGATAGCAAGAAATCTAACCCAGCTCTACCGAACACTTCTGGTCCACTGGACAACGTTGAGGATCTGCATACATGTCTACCTTTGTAAAGTATCACTGGCACTGGAAATCTTGAACGACATCTGGCAAATCTTGAACGTATCATCAGTTTTATGAGCTTATTCCTCTTGATGAGCATATTTTCCAATACATATGGCGATGGTACCAATGTATCGCAATTTTTCGAATTTCGAAATTTGTCATGTTCTAACATTATAAGATAGCTAGGGTAATGGGCGCAAAGGTCACCTCCGCTGTTATCAATTGTAGAATATTCATAATCAAAGGCCGCAAGCAACATGCACCTCTGCATGATTTCCTGATTCTGTAAAAACATAGCTTATTAATTTTACAAAGAGTTTTATGTTTGTGTGTTTATAATCAGAAAATATATTGATAAAACAACTACCGTGACATCTGCATCCTTGGTTCTATAGGTGTTCTTTGCAAAGTGTGTGATGAGATTTCGTAGACTATCTATACTAATCTCAGTCATGATTTATTTTGGCTTAAACTAGATGCGTTTGCTCACTTGCTGTAGAAATTTGCTTAAAACAGCTTTCCAAGGAGGCACTAGATTCACAAGGCATTAATTGCCAGTATCTTGCATGAGAAGAACACGACACAAAACACTGAATTTAAGGTATATGCAGGTCGCATTGCCAGTTAACATTTATCAAATTCTTTTCGTCACAATCCATCTTCAAATGTCGACAACATAATCTTCCATGCATGCACAATCGAACATATTATTTCTGTAGACAATAATTTTACCTGTTATAATATGCGACTATTGAAAGATAAAATTTATTTATTCAAGAGAACTCCCGTTGCATTTATATCTATAATCTTCTCTTTGTATCTTCAGTTACCAAAGCATCCAGAAATTTCGAGAAAAAATAATGTAAAAAAAATTTTCAAAATAAACTCTAGATCAGAGAAATTATGCATTATTTACGCTACGAATATTTATTGCTTTTTAAAATGCAACGAAAAATCAGAAGGTGAAAAAAAGAAGAAATAAATCTTTTTTTAAAATTATTATATTAAATTTGTGTATGAATCCTGTGTTCCTCAAAAAGGAGTACTTGCTCCATCAAGAGTAGGACGAGCAATTAATTCTTTCTCGCGACATAAGTCTTTCCTGCGAGAACAATAAGTCTATTTTCTATATAAACTGAACACCGTTTTTTATGCGTGTATATATATATATATACTTTTGAAACTTAAAGTAAAATAGATTTATGTTTAATATTTGGTAAACGCGAGAAAGAAATTTCTAGACAGGAATAAAAGATCTATAGAATAGAAAAATATGTATAACCTATCAACACCACCACATGTGCCATCGGTATCACTGAAAAACATGCGGCGTTGTAAATTTCCACCACGTAGAGACGGACGCTATGACGTGTCGTTAAGATTACTGTACGGTCCACGTGTCTCTGCAACAACGGGAGATAGGTTTCCAGAATTCTGATAACTCGAAGAAAATCTGCGACACGAGTGCACGAGTGTCCGCGAGCATTTTTGAATCGAAAATTGCAGTTTCAGTTCAGAAATACCCGTAAATACTCGCATGCTCCTCCCCCGTGCTCTCGGGAAACAAAGAGACTCGTCCTTGACACGCACGTTTTGGCACGTTTGAATCGTCAAACGAACGAACTATCCAGAATGTGATTATCACGCGGTCGCCCTATCGCAGTCACGTTCCCAACTTTCCGTACTTTTAAGGTTATCTTCGAAACTGTGGTGATGCCGTGGTGGTGATTAGGGATGTTCGATTCTCAAGATCGATTTTTTAGAAAATCGATTCTTTTACCTTCGATTCTCGATTTTTTAGATCGATTCTTAAGCTCCGATTAAATCGACGAATCGATTCTTAAGACCCGAGATCGATCTTCTTTATTACACTATGGGTACGGTGTTATAAATTACACCATGGGGCAGGGCCCGTATTCTGTACGCAACTATCGATATCGATAACTAACGATAGTTAATGACAAGGATAATTCTAGTAGTCATATAATATCTGTTAACTTATGCCATAACGCTGATTCTAGGGCCGGTATTCATAGTCGATTCTTATTTCAAGACCGTCTTAAGTAGTGTCTTAAGACACTAATGCGGCTTTCTGATTGGTTCGTGACTTCTTAAGATCGTACTTAAGACGGTCTTGAATATAAGAACTGACTATGAATACCGGCCATAGTCAGATCTTATATTTAAGACCGTCTTAAGTTCAGCCTTGAGGTGTCATGAACCAATCAGAAAGCCGCATTAGCGTCTTAAAACATGGCTACGTTCAGTAGACTCAACAGTTTTGCAACCGTTTTATGATTGTCTGCTGAGATAGGACCATTCTTCTAGATCTAAAAGTATGATCCAATTAGCGCGAAGGAAACTTCCAACAGTTGCAAAACAACCGTTCTGCTGAACGCAGCCATTACTTAAGATTTTAAGACATTACTTAGATTAAGCTTAATCGGCTGGTGAAACTAGCCCTTAGGGTGCTGTTCCATGGGCACGGAAAACGGAATCGGAACACGGAATCGGAAAGGTGAAATGGTAGGGGCAACCAATCAGCATCGTTCCGTTCCGATTTTAAATAGCCTGGCTTCCCATGGGGCATATTTTTCGGAAACGGAAATTTTTCGTACGAAATTCCAATATTTACAGGAGATAATTAATAAAAGGCGATTTTTGACGTGCTTCTGGTATAGCAATCATAAGCAACCGCGGTTGAGGCTATCTTCGTTTTCAGGGATCAGAAGACGAAGATAACTCCAACTGCGGTTGCTTTTGGTTGCTATATCAGAGGCACGCCAAAAATCGCCTAAAAACACAGTATTAGAAGTTAATATATTCTATTATGTATTCTATTATTATATTATATTAAATCCGTAATATTATATCCGTAACAGCACAGACTTCCAAGGGATGTCCTGAGGATGTCTAAGGGGATATCCATATGTCCTTTGAACAGCGTCCTAAGGACATTCCCAGAATAAAGTGTGCTATTAGGGATTATATTATACTACATTACATATATTCTAAACAAAACCTTCATATATATTCGTTTATTACTTACAGTTTTACACGATAATCAGTCGTAATAACACCGCACGCAGTGCTCTGAAACAGTAAACACAGCCATATTGGATTTTAATCGAATGGACCTCCCCATGATTGACTGTCGACTCCCCACTACTTTTAGGCTACTGCACATCCACGGGAACGACTCACCTTGTATAATGCGTTCAGCAGAGAAAGAGAAAGCAGCTTTGCAACTGTTGTAAAATTCTTCAATACGACTGGTTCTTGCTTTTGGTTCCTTACAGATCTAAACGTATAAACCAATCATATTGAAGAATTTTACAACAGTTGCAAAGCTGCTTTCTCTGCTGAACGCAGCCAATTCTACCATGGTTAAAATTATCCGCAACTTATCTGGAAGTGATGAAATTGGGAAATATAAATGGAAAACCCTACGGACGGTATTTATAGTCGATTCTTACGGCGAATTCGATTGGAAGCACTAGTGCGCACTGGTGCATATTAAAGCCGTTGTACATTGATTTAATTTGAGTATAAAAATGAAATACAAATATTTAGAATTATGAAATACATATTTTACTTAATAGTACAATAAAATGTATTGAGAATTTCATGATTTAATCGATTTCTATGTTTATTTATAAACATTTCTTTACGTTATTTTGTGTACAACGGCTTTAATTACACTAGTGCGCACTGAATGCGTCCAATCGAATTCGCTAATATTCAAGATCGTCTTAAGTATCGTTTCAAGAAGTCACGAACCAATCAGAGGGCCGTATTAGCGTTTTAGACGGTCTTGAAATAAGAACCGACTATGAATACCGCCGTATTATATATACCGGCCGTAATTACGGCGCTTTGTGAGTACGGAATACCGACCGAGTACTTGCCGTATTTGAGCGACTAGTACCGCGCGCAAACGAGCGATAGTGCGACGTGTGCGAGTGACTGCGACGCGCGCACGCGCAGACAACGGACCAGTGGAATCGAACACGGCGCGGTCCGACTGCGAGGAACCGGTGGAACGCGACCGCGGCAGGCGGCTTCGCTCGCAATATGGCGAGTATGCGATGAGGGGCTCTCGCATCGTGCGTGCCTCGCCTCGTCTCGTGCGCTGTAGTGACGTTCGTTGATCGTGTCGTTCGCCCGTTGAAATATGCTGACAGTAACGTGGGTTCGTGGCAACCCGTCGTGAATCGGCGCGCGTTCTCTCGCGTGATCGTGTCGAGGGCGACGGCGCGGCGACGGCGACGACGTCGTACGTCTCCCCCGACGTGAAGCGAGGCGACGTTCGTACGCGGGACGCGCGGGAGAGCGCGAGAACGAAGGTAAACAAACGACATGAGCGCGGTACTCGGTGGCAGCGTCGACGGCGAGACGGCGCCGACGGGCCCCCTCCTAGACCCGGACGTCGAGGGCATCCTCGAGGAGAAGAACCAGCTCATCAGCCGCCAGTACGCGGAGATCGAGAGGCTGCAGCGCGAGCTCGCCGAGGTCGTCGGCGAACGGGACGCTCTGCTCTGCGAGGTGTCGAAATTTAAGTTCGAGCGCGAGATGACCGACCTCAAGCGGCTGCACGATGACAGGTACGCGCGCCCGCTAAAGCCTAAAGAGTAAAGACTTCCCTCTCACTCTCCTCGATCTGGCTGCTCTTCGCTCCCACTTGATCGCTGCCGGAAAGAAGGTACAAACGTGTATTCGCACTCCCCGTACATTTGTGTTCTTTGTTTTCCTGCAATTCCTTCCGCATTTTTCCCTCCGTGACGCCTTGTTTAAGCGCGGAAAGTGTGACGCCGTCTAATTTGAAAAGAACGGGCTTGATCGCGATAAAAATTCATTTTTGCCAGCGTGAAAGTCTTTTCTTTCTCTCCTCATATATTTTCTTTACGTTAATAACGTTACGTTAATAACGTTACGTTAATTTCTCGTCGGTTTGATGTATCTCTCACGCCTTTTGTATACCTGGCGCGGACTAGCGCGCGGTTTTGGGATAAATAAGACGGGAAGAAAGGGACAAAAATATGTAGGAGGTACAAAGAACTCACGAGAAAAATATCTCCTTCCCACTCACATTCTTTCACATTCTTCGTATTCAAAACGAGATAAAAGCGTACAGCGAGTAGCCATGTGCCACAAAAATCCATGTTTTTATTCCTTCGAATGAAATAATGGGAGGTACACCCAAGAACTTCGATTCTTTCTCTCGGAAATTTTCACAAACTGAGAAATGACGACCTTTTTACATTGATACTCAGTCCGTGCGCGATTAACGACACGACTAAACCTTACGTCTGCTTACACAGCTAAATTTGACATAAAAACGAAATAACCTGAATTTTTGCAAGTTTTAAAAAAGTAACAGGGGGAAGAATCGAAGTTTTTGGGTGTACAAAAAGAAATTGTAGTACAATATTTCACATTTCTCGTTTATTTGCGCCCTCGTGACGGAAACGTGGAAGCGGGCGAGGTGCAGAAACCGAAAAAGGGCGTATCCACCTTTTTTCCCGCGCATTTAAGCCGCGTTGTTTTTTTTTCCACCCCGCAACTTTCCGGGCCGATCTATCCTGGCAACGTTTCGCGACGTCGTTTATCTCCCAGTTTTCGACGCGATCCACCGTAGAAAATCCAGCGTGAATCGCGTTACCGGGGGGATGGTTCACCCTCACTCGTGCGACTCGTGGGCGAATCACGTCGCCTTGCCCCTCCTACACTCCGCCACTCTCTCGCTCTTTTGAAAAAGCCATCAGATGTCAATCATCGTCGGATTGATATTGCACCGGCGAGCGTGCGATTTGGGGGATGCATTCTCGCGCAAATTTTCCCGTCGCGTCTGATGGATATCGCGAAATGCAAAACACGCAATTCGCGGGCGTACGCAACGAAACGAGAGATACCGTTTCTAGTTGGATTAACCCTTTGTATCGCGACATCGTTGTTTCCGCCTGTTACGATCGCCTATATCGAACGCTGACCGACGTTGCCACACACACGTCGCGAGCTTCTCTCTTGGCGATCAGTCTTTTCTCCCTGGTTCAACAAGTAGCCGAGTGTAGACGAACCGAAAGAGTTAAAACGGCCGAAATGTAACTTTTACGAATTTCTCTCTGGTTATTTCTAGAAAAAAAAAGAGGACTCGTAGAAAGATATATATTTTTTCAGATTGAATTTTATTCCTGTCGAATAAAATTAATTTGTGTTGTAAATATCTGTTGCGAGCTTTTTAATACGCAAGATTAATGTATCGTATTCACCGAATGACGTTTCTTTTCATCAATTTCATGATATTTTTTTATCGGAAGTGAAAGAAGGTTATCGATATTACAACGATGGTTTATCATCGTACAATTTCACTTTTTAATATTGTACATCTTCGTAAATAAGACTTGAAGTAGTATTTCATTAAGTCAACATTCATTTGAAACTAAAGTGTATAATTTTAACATCTATTTGCTCTCCTCAAGTTTAGTTTCTCTCGTTTCCATATTTAACTTATTTTAATCGTCTGATTACAAATATCTCTGGTATATTATACATCCTTGATTATAAATAAAGCATTCTCACAAATTGACATAAACGTTCCGCATTTAACGAAAAATAAATAAGAAACAATTTTATTGAGAAATAATATTTATTTTTATAATAACTTTAATATTTTGTTTAATATATATTTTAACGATTTTTGTATTTTAAT